ACTTTAAGTCATACCAGCTCATTCACACCAACACTTTTGGATACCAAGGCCAGGGGAAGAATAGAGACAAAGGGGTAATGGTGTCAGCAGGACCCATCTTGTTCATCTTGTAACCCCCTGCTGTAGCAGACTCTCAACTCAAACATCAATCTGTGGTATTTCTTGTGTGTCCATGAGTTAGGATTATGGTTAATTTCTCATGCCAAATACTTAAAGACTCAGAAATCCTGATTTCTAATACTAAATTCTCTTCCTATTTAATCCATCACATACACTTCATGTTCTACAGAATCTTTCGATAAAATCATCAAGATGCATCATAAAGATGCCTGCTAGTTTCTCTCTGCGATACTGGGAGAAAATTTCAGGGTCTGCTTTAAACTGAATGCAGCATACTTACAGCTATAGGGACCTAAGTGAGAAATATTATATTCTGGCTGCAATAGTCAACCCATAAACACACTTGTATAACTTTAGCTTCCTTATAGCACCTGGCAATTACATTTGGGAATTCAGAGACTCAAACACAGAGGTGCAAGATCAAAACAGCGACATTTATATAAATCTAACAAATAGTGTACAGTGCATTGTCACCTGACAACCAAAGTGCCCTCAAAAATTTTTCTTCTTTCTCTCCTTCCCTCTACATTTTACTATAGTCCCTTGCTCCACATTTGGGGGTAGGTAGCCTGGTTAGCAGTGAAGTCAGTATCCCCTAGGCATTTGACTTGCCAACCTCAGGGGCATTTGTGTTTGGATGGTCCAGATGTACAGAGAGTCCTGTTACCAGAGGCAAGTGAATCCATTCCTTCTGCACCTTCTGAATGTGGGAAAGGGACTTGCAGCTTAGAGATGGAGGGATCGACAACCTTTGTAGTGTCCTCAGAGGAGATGTCCAAGGGAACTGGTAGTGATTCTCCAGCTTCTGGGCAATGAGGACCAATGAGGAGCTAAATACATGCCTGGTCTCTGGCAGGTCCTCCCAGCTACAGTGCCTCCCTTGGTCAGCTGTAGAACTGTCACCAGATTGTGTCCCCAAACTTTTGCGTAAAGTTTCCAATCTAATTAATTAATAGGAGTCCAAAACTGGACACAGTATTCCAGATATTGTCACACTATGCCGAAACCAACAAATTCAACTTGTGTCACATTTGATTTGCACTAAATTTTATGTGCACTCTGACTGATTTACACCAAACAATATTTGCCCTGAGTTTGATTGGCGTCATCATCGACTGGCACAATTCAACATATGTCCTGCTCGATATACACCAAGTTGAGTTTACACCGAATTGGATGCACTTCTTTCACTGCTTGCACCAAGATATGATTTCAATTGAGTTAATGAAGAAGCTGGTCATCAACTTTGGGAAGCAGAGTGGAGTACATGTCCTTGTCTGTATCAATGATGCTGAGGGGTAGGTGGTGAGACCCTCAAGTTCCTCGGAGTAAATATCACCAATAATCTATCCTGGTCCATCCACCAACCCAAATTCAGCATGTCCACAATGACCCTTACCCAGTTTTACAGGTGAACCATAGAAAGCATTCTATCCAGATGCATCACAGCTGGGTATGGCAACTGCTCTGCCTAAGTAACTGCCTAAGAAGTTACAGTTACAGTCCATAATAAAAACCAGCCTTCCTACCACTGACTCCATCTCTAATTCTGCTGCTTCAGGAAAGCTGCCAACATAATGAAAAATCCTGTTATACAAAGATACAAAGGTTTGAAAACACGCACCAACAGATTCAAGAATAGCTTCTTTCCCGCTGTTACCAGAGTTATGAACAGACCTATATATTAGAGATGATATTTCTCTGCATCTTTTCTGTACTTTTTAAAATTTAATATATTGTCACTCGTACCCAGTTAAAGTGAAAAGTAGATAATGTCGTCTTGTTCTAGCACCATCTTGGATTACAGAATAAGTTACTGAATAAATTGTGTAAATGATAAAACACTAAATAAATTAATATTAAATTGGTATTTCTACAGACTGAAATATCTTTAAAGGTTCATCTTTCCTTCTCTGTAGACTTTACCCTCTCTGCTCCTCCAGTCACTGTTGTCCAACACTGTCCCCAGAGTCCTCCTGCTGCCACTGGCACTGTCACTTCTACATTCGCCACCTCCGAGCTGGAGACAGTCATGCTGCGTGGGTACTGTACCTCCTCCAGTGCTGGGCACCGACTGCAGGGTCCAGGCTCCTGCTCATCTTCCAATGCCACCGCCCAAGATCGAGCAGGTATGGGAGATACACAGGGCCCCAGCCTCCCGCAGGGGGATATCAGGAGGCACCCCCAGAGCAACCAAAACAAAATAAAGTTCCTGAGGTGGAAAGACAACGATGAAGCTGTGTGGATGTGGCAAAGCCCGCCACATAAGCCATAATCAGCTGAGCCTCTCACTCAGGAGCCAAATGCTGCCGACCCCATCACTGCTGTCTAGTAGTTTCCATCACCCTAACATCAGGGTATTTACACACTGAAAGTAGCTGGAACACTATGTTCTGTGATGTACTTACACAAGGAATGATTTGCCTGGTTAGCACATGAAACAGTATTTTTCATTGTATCTCGGCACATGTAACAATAATAAATCAAAGCAAACGCTATATGCCACATGAAGTTTACATCAAATTTGATGGTCATCAAATTCAATTCCCACCATATATGACATCTCCTGAAGGTGATTTGGACTGGTTTGCTCCATATGAAATTACATTTTGAGCAAATTTGATTTGCAAGTTATTTAATCTGTACCCACGTCAATCAAAGCCACATTTAATTAACATCATTTCCCACTTCACCTTCTTATACCAATCATGATTTACACTATTATTTACTCCCTGCCTTATCGCTGAATCACAATTTGCACTATTTACATGTCCCACCATGTACACAGAATGCTAATTGGAATTTACTGCTCAACAGGAATTTTACCAGGTTCCTTTCATGATTTATTCCACCCCTTGTTTAAAGCCTGTCCAATTTACCACTCATTTAGTCGAACCACATTTACGTTACTGTCACAAGATCTTCCCCAAGGTCTCCACAATTACATGATCCATATCAGGAGACATGCTCCTGTTAAAAATGAATGAAAATCTTCATAGTCAAAGTGACACTGTGTACAGACTTTCAAAATATCCTGTCCATGCTTGTTCCTTTTCTTGTTCACCAGTTACCCAAGCATTTCCAATGTAGCTGTTTTAAGTTTGTAAGATTCTCCTTGATCCCTTTGAGGCAAATGTACGCATCTTCAGGATGGAAATGGGATAACCTCATACTCATTCACACATTGTTCTCTCTCCAAGCTTTTAACATTGTTTTTCTGGTTGTCTCATCATTTTCCATTCTCATATTTCGCCAGAATCGCTCAGCAAACAGACGTTTTCATGTTACCCATTTCTGCTCCTGAGAATTAGTTTGCACATCCTGCTGTTCTTGATATTCTGCTTCTGATGGTGACCCCCATCTCTTTTATCCTTTGGTCGCTGTGAGAACATTGTTTCTTATCCTTCTTTAATTGGTTTCCGAACTCTCCATTTATCTTCACTCTAGATTTTTGCGTTAAATGTTTTTTCTACTAGACAGCCAATACCATGTCAGAGTATTAAAGGCAGAGGAGGACATAGAACATGGAGAAAATGAACAGGAGTAGGGCATCTGTCCTTTGAGACTGCTCAATATGATCACACTTAATCATCCAGTCCCTTGTTCCCTGCTTTCTCTCCATGTGATTCCTTTAGCCCTCGGAACTATTTCTAACTCCTTCTTGAAAAAACTTCATGTTGTGACTTCAACTACTTTCTGTGGCAGAGAATTACACTGTCTGGGTGAAGAAATTTCTCCTCATCTTAGTCCCAAATGGCCTACCCTCTATCCTTAAACTCTGACCCCTCTTCCTGGACTCCCCACTCTGGGAACATCCTTCTTCCGCATTTACCCTGTCTAGATTCCCTGAGCTTAAACCAGGGACTCTGAACACAGTGTTCCAATGATCCCTTCATTTTTCCCTTTTCCATGTGAAGACTGTACCGAGTTTTCTCTTTGCCAGGATTAGAGGATTGAAATTTGTGCCAACTTTTATTGTTTTACCCTTGTCGATATCCAGGGACTTTGGCCTTAATAGGCAGTCAGGATCAGACACTGCACAACTTGATGCATGGCTTTGTCCCTTTAGGGTAGAGGTTATCATATTCTGCCAAACGCCACTAAAATTCACTGTCCCTGTATGAAGGCACTCTGACTTGCTCCCATTTGCTGTTAAATGTTAACAGGACTCATTTTAAGTGACCTGCAGCACAGTAGTAGTTTTAGTGGCTCTGGACCAGAAGGGCTGGGTTCAACACACTCTTAAAAGGAAGAAGAATGACAGGGCATAGGTTTAAAGTGATGTTGAAATGAAGCAGGGATGAAGTGAGAAAAATCTTTTCCACATTGCAACTAGTTAGGGTCTGGAATGCACCGCGTAGAAATATGGTAGAGGCAGGTTCAACTGAGGCATTCAAGAGGGCAATGGATAGAAATGGGGTGCAGGGATATGGGGATAAGACAGGAGACTGGCACGAGCTAATAGAACCAGTGCAAGCAGGATAGCCTGGACAGCCTCCTTCTGCAGCAGTACAATTCTAGAATTCTGCAGAAGTCCCATCCAGACAGCTGGGAAATGTACCTTAGCTTGTCTGACTATAACATCTATAACTCAATATTCTGGCTCCAAACTTTTAACTCTGTTCGTTGAGCAAAGTTTGCACTAAGTAATGCAAACGGTTTATCAAGCCACACACGTAATTCTTACACTTTATCGCATCCGCTGCAGAAAATTAACTTAAAGCCTCGTTAATATCTATCTGCGGAATATCCCATTGCATTTTCCCCACAGACAGCTTCTGAGCAAACGAGGGCTTGGACTGGAAATGAACTTATGTCTCCTGATCCCTGAAGTTGGACCAAGCAATGAACCAGTGGATGAAAACATATCGGGAACTTACCTCCAAGTGTGGCAAAGAAGCCTTCAAAGTTACAACCAGCTGGTCCGAAGATGAAATAGCCATTCATTGCGGTGATGATGGCGGTAGTGAATCCACCAAGGACCATGAAGAGATCAGAAACAGCCAGGTTGAGGAGGATATAGTTAAGGGGCTGCCGAAGTTTCTTGTGTTGGATGGTGACGTACAGGGTGAGGAAATTGATGGGGAACCCTGTTATAATGAGGAAGAACATGTAGGCTGCCAGCAGTGAGAATTTCCAAGGCTCAGCCAGGTAGTACTGCGGGTATTCGAATGGGCTCCTGACCACACCTGTCTTGTTGGACATGGGTATATAGAAGTTCTCTCCTTCGGTGCCATTCATGGTTGCAGCTTGTTGTGCAACTCAGTTGAAGCAAACTTTCCCCTTACTTTCCCTCGATGATGATCCTCTCTGAACCTGACCCGAAACAGCACAGGAACTGACTGACTTGAGCAATGACAGGACACAATCAAACGCCCCCCCCACCCCAGGTCCCTGAGCCCCCTTATAAAGCCTTGGATTACTCCGGCCCTGCCTGTCAGCAGAAAGCAATTTAAGCCGCGGTAAAAGAATAATTAATCCAGGCAGGAGCTGAGACGGTATCATCAAGTCATTAACACTCACACTGCTGCACTGGGCAGCGAGGCCTTTGCCCTGACAGCCCATTCAGAAGTTGTCAAACGTGGAAGAAGTAAAAGCACAAAGTTGATACAGGTCTGTGTCGGTGAGCATGTTTGCTAATTATGCCTGTATCTACATGTCATTCCATCTGGGTGGGCCAGCATACACATGGATATGAGCTTCCAGTTCCCTGCCAGTTTAACACACCACCCTGTACCCTGGCCAATATCTCTGTCTCTGGCTTACTGCAGTATTCCAGCGAAGCTCAGCACAAGCTGGAAGAACAACACCTCGTTTTCTGCTTGGGGACACTGCAGCCCTCCGGACTCAGTATCAAGTTCAATAATTTTAGGGCCTAAACTCTCCCATATCCTAGCCCCTACCCCACATACCAGGTCTTGTTATCACATAGCCTGCCATTACACACTACCTATTGTTAGCCACTAGCAGTCTCTATTAACAGCTATTCATCCTCCCAGCCAGATCGTAATCAACTGCTTTGTCCAACTGTTCTGCTCTCTCTTTGAGCTCTATCCTCTGCCTATTGTTTATTCCTTACCCCCTCCCCCCACCCTATCTTCTGCATATAAACCAACATTTTCCTAGCTACCATCAATTCTGCGGAAGGGTTACCAGACCCAAAATGTTAACTCTGATTCCTCTTTACAGATGCTGTCAAACCTGCTGAGCTTTTCCAGCAACTTTGTATTTGTGTCTGATTTACAGCATTCGCAGTTCTTTGGTGAATATAAGGGTATTGTCCTGGTGTCTATTGTGTTGAATGGAACTATTGGAATATCAGAAACTGGACTTGTGTTATCTTACAGGCTAGAACACATATAATAGCGAGTACTAGAACCTGTATGAAGGGACTGTGCTTGCATTTTACATAGAAACATTGAAACTTAGAAAATAGGTGCAGGAATAGGCCACCTGGTCCCCTTGAATTTGCACCACCATTCAATATGATCATGGCTGATCATGCACTCTCAGTATTCCACTCTCACTTTCTCTCCATACCCCTTGAACCCCTTTAGCCGCAAGGGTCACATCCAGCTCCCTTTTGAATATATCTAATGAACTGGCCCCGACAGCTTCCTGTGGGAGAGAATTCCACAGGTTCACAACTCTGAGTGAAGAAATTCTTCCTCATCTCAGTCCCGAATGGCTTACCCCTTATTCTTACATTGTGACACCTAGTTCTGGACTTCCCCAACATCAGGAACATTCCTCCCACATCTAGCCTGTCCAGTCCCATCAGGATTTTATATGTTTCTAAAAACCACACCCCCACATCCCATTCTTCTAAATTCCAGCAAGTACAAGTCCAGTTGATCCAGTCTTTCCTCATATGTCAGTCCTGCCGTCCTGGGAACCAGTCTGATGAACCTTCGCTGGACTCCCTCAATAGCAAGAATGTCCTTCCTCAGACTAACAGACCAAAACTGCACACAATGCTCAAGGTGTGCCCTCACCAAGGCCCTGTATAACTGCAGCAAAACATCCTTACTCCGATACTCAAATCCTCTTGCTATGAAGGCCAGCATGCCATTAGCTTTCCTCACTGCCTGCTGTACCTATACACCAACCTTCAGTGACTGTTCCTCCATGACACCCAGGTCTCATTGCACCTCACCTTTTCCTGAACTGCCACCATTCAGATAATAATCTGCCTTCCTGTTTTTGTGACCAAAGTGGATAACCTCACATTTATCCCCATTATATGGCATTTGCCCACTCAGCCAGTCTGTCCAAGTCACCTTGCAGCCTCTTAGCATCCTCCTCACAGCACACATTGCCACCCAGCTTAGTATCATCTGCAAATTTGGAGATATGGCATTCAATTCCTTCGTCCAAATCATTAATGTATATTATGAACAGCAGAGGACCCAGCACAGAACTCTGTGGCACCCCACTTGCCACTGCCTGCCACTCTGAAAAGGACCCATTTATTTCAACTCTCTGCTTCCTGTCTGCCAGCCAGTTCTCTATCCATGTCAATACATCACCTCTGATATCTTGACCTTTAATTTTCCTTATTAATTTTTTGTGTGGGACCTTGTCAAAAGGCTTTTGAAATCCAGATACACAACATTCACTGATTCACTCTTGTCCATTCTACTGGTCACATCCTCAAAGAATTCCAGAAGATTTTTCAAGCATGATTTCCAGCATTCTGTAGACTCTGGAAGAGTTCTAATGGACTGGAGATTCCCTTTAGCCAATCCTTGGACCAATCCTGTTACCACTTTCCAAATGCTAAATTATTACCTAATAATTGACTTCAGCATTTTCCCCATCACTGATGTCAGGCTAACTGGCCTATAATTCCCTGTTTTCTCTCTCCCTCCTTTTTTGAAAAATGTGTTACATTAGCTACCCTCCAGTCCATTGGAACTCTTCCAGAGTCAATAGAATGTTGGAAAATAATTACCAATATTTCTAGGGCTACTTCCTTACGTGCTCTGGGATACAGAGCTGCAGGCCTCCCTGGGGAGTTATCGCATTTTAATCCCATCATTTTCCCCAATATCATTTCCTGACTAATGAAAATGTCCTTCAGTTCCTTCATGCTCGACCCTCTGCCCTCTAGCATTTCCTGAAGGTTATTTTTGTCCTCGTTAGTGAAGACAGATCTAAAGTATTTGTTTAACTGTTCTACCATCTCTTTGTTGTTGATTATGAACTCACCTGATACTAACTGTAAGAGACCTACATTTGTCTTCACCAGCTTTTTCTCTTCACATATCTATAGAAGCTTTTGCAGTAATTTTTTTTAATGTTCTTTGCAAGCTTACTGTCTTTATTCTATTTTCCTCTTCCAAATTAAACCCTTTGTCCTCCTCTGCTGAATTTTAGCAGAGCTGATTGCAATAATGGTGTCGCTGTCCTATTTATATAAATAGAGCCTATAATTAACAAGACAAATCTTTGAGAGCTTCCAGTTGCTGATTGTTTGAAGTAATTGGGAGTGATTCCCATTGTTAGGTAAACATCTATCAGATCCAGAGGGACATCTCTGACAGCAACAGTGTGGTTTGAGGAATGAGAGTGAATGTCTGTGAGGAACAGTGTGAACATGAGCAATGGGAGTGAATCTCTGTAAGAAACTGTCATCACTCCCCAT